GGCATCTTTTTTTCTTTGTGAATTGCAATATGGTCATTATCCCATCAATAGCCCCGTTACTCTGAATTGATACACCGCGTCGCGGATTCGATAACTTATGCTATGTTAAGAGTTTTGAATCATGGAGATGTCAAATAAATCGAGCAAAACCATGCGTGTAACGTGAACCACATGCGCATGACCTGTCGTCGTCAATGGGTAAGGGAGACGATGAGGATGACATTTGAGAGGGACGAACGAATAATCAACCACGTCAATGTGCGCAGGGCACTCGACAATTTTCAAAAACCGTAAAGGCATCAGGAGTTGGTATGAGCCTGAACGTCGACTTAGAAGGTCCACTGATTATCAACCCAGAACACCACCTTTCATACAGGTCGATATATCTACCTGTTTGACAGAACTTAGGGCTTGGGAACAGAGAAAACTCGTTCTGCGAATTAAGTAGGATGGAAGCAATATGGCTTGATGAATGTGGCTATGGCTAGATAAATATAATGTAACTCTTCCACTCGCTGGAAAAGGATGAACGAAGATTAACCCAACGGTAGATCTCTCCAGAAGCAGGTAACCAACCCTACCTTCCATTTTATCACGGTCAAAGAACAAATTAGAAAAAGAAGTTGACCTACCTTATGAACGTCTTCGGGCGGATACTGAAGAATACTTGCCAGTAGAAGGGCGATATCCGCGCGCTTATCTGGAGCTGCAGTGAAGTAACTTAGAAACAGCTGGCGCAACGTGACATCATCAATGCGATAACTTTCAGCTGACTGTCGTGATGACGCTCTAGCCTCTTCCAGCTGAACCTCTAGATCCTCTGAAATACGATTTTATTAGCGAAATGAAGCGATAAATATTTCATGTAATAGAAAACGTACCAACAATCTTCTTGCCGAGCATTAAGTGAGCTCTTCGCCGACTCTAACAAATCTTCAACAGTTTGCTTATCGAGTGATAACCGCTCCATTTCCGCACGCAAATTTTCGACAGTTGCAGTCAGCTCCTGGGTGAATGTGTTCAAATTTGCGTTCGCATAACGAAAGGATAAGAAAAAATTAAGCAGCATTTACGAAGCCCTACTCGAATTTGTTCCTGAAGCTGTACATTCCTATGGGAAGCACTGGCAGCCTCCCTTTCATGATCTGCCGATAATTCACGCACGACAACCTAAGGATAAGCTTATAAACAATAGCTCCTGTCAACGAAAACAATTGAAAATAAAAAATGAATGAAAAAATAAAAATAGTACATAAGCCCTAGCAGTAGAGGGGTGACATCGAAATGTCCCCCCCCCCCTCTACTGCTAGGGCTCGATAAAGTGGAACCCTCATAGTTGACGACTTATCTTATACATGCTTTCGTTTTTCGTTCGACCAAAGGCCGTAAATGTACTCACAGAGGAGGTCTTTCAGGGCAAGCCGCGCTTTTTCAAAACGGTTTTTTGCATATTGTAGGGACTCATGTGTGGACCACAAAACCATGTTTCGTTTTCGCTGAACGGTTCCCTGATGGCCAAAAAAGGGTCGAAAAAATTTGTTGAGAATGGGCGGTTTTTACAGCTTTGGAGTGACGTTTCGGACTTGTACAGAAGATCACCTGCATATTGAAGGGTGCTGAGAAAAGATGGTATCGAAAACAAGTGAAATTCGCCAAAAATTGAAGTACTGTCAATGGTAGTGCTGAAAAAAAAGTGAAGAGGTTTCATAAGCATCGTCGGCACCCCACATTCGCAGTGGTTGTGGTCGAGGAGATAGCGTGATGGACTCGAAGGAAGGGTCTTTGTGGTTCGACTCCGCTCTATTACGGGAGTTTTGCATTTTCGACTTGTCACATCCAAATGAGCGCCAATTGCTTAGCGTCAAATTTAACGCTATATTCACAATCAGGACCATCAGCAGCCCCTGCAAATGGGTTTACTATCAAAAACTGGCAGAATGAAATGTGTAGCGCCAAACTGGCGCTGACGCCAAAAAAAAAGAACGCAATAATTAGTGAACAGTAATCCGATTACCGACCTAATAGCAAACCAAACGAAAATCGAGACTTTTGAACCTAGCTTGGAAATGGAGTGACCATTGGGCGCACAATCAGGTCGTGCATGTAAGGCGGCAGGCGATTTGTAAGACGAGCGCTGCGCAGTGAAATACGCGCAGATCACCCTGATGGATTCACGGATAAGACAAAGTGAATTTCATAGAGAACATGTCCCACTACGCGACTGTCCTTGAAATCGCTTCCAGCTATGGAGATGAGGCCCTACGAGTGCAGGAGTCGAGGACCGAACCTATCACGTCCTTGAAGGAGAGAAGAAATTCTGTCAACTTCAACTCATGCGGGTACTGTTTCCCATCACTAGCTCGGCCGCCTGCCACTATCTATTCTGTAGTAATTTTCTATATGCTAGAAGAGAATTACGAAGAGAAACTATTATCATTTTCCATCCCTGGGCTAGAGCACCACCTGATTCCTGACCGACCCGTCGACTTTTTCTCGGACTGGCTCAAAATTCCACTTTTTTTCTAAAACTTCTACTTTAAGGAGTACCCAAGGATGTGATCTTGGATACGACATTTATTTTCCCCAAACGCCTCCAAATTACGCTACTTCGGCACCATTGGCGCTCTTCTGGTGTTACAACTTTTCTTCCGCTAGATTCTGATGAAAATTCGAGTGCAATACCTACTGATGGTCTTGATGATGAAGACGATACCTAATATTGGTGCTGATATTATTTTTAGCGAATTTAAAATCTCCCACTGAAATGCAAAAATTTTGTTCTCAATGAGGATTGATCCCTGGACCATTTCCTCACCACTTTTTGGCCTTCTCAAGGCCGTTTAGCGAAAATAGACCTTGGTTCTCTAATCCACGCCAGCATAAGTTCCTCTAACATGCAAAAAACCGTTTGAAAAGCGCGGCTTGCCCTGAACGACCTCCCCCTGTCAGAGAGATCTGGCCCAAGTGAGGAAATGAAAAAAAAAATTGATGGAGCGTATCGAGTAACGCAAAAGTGCGACAGACTGTGGTTGCTCTAGCCTTACACAAATCTGCTATGGTCATCAAGAGAAAGAAAATGGAAGAGTAAAAACTAAACAAAGAAATGTGTTGAATAGTCCAAAAAACATTCGAAAACAGGTTGTCCCATAATTAGTGAATCACTTTACATTTATTGCTATAAATTCCAAGAAAAATCTTGAAGGCGTGAAACATGTTTTGCCAAGTAGTACCCACATTGTCCTACCTGAGCAATTAGTCAGCCCATTCACATGTTGCCTTCCGAGGCTTAAACTTCAATTTTTCTGGAATCTTTCCCAAACACGATATGAAATCGCCATGTTCCCTCTGGCTTCCCAGAGTTCTTTCAGTGATCATCCTGCGTATTCACCAGTGTTGTGAAGTGGGTGGAGTGTGCTAGCAAATTCACAAGGAGCAGTAGCCTAGCTTAAAAGATTCGGGAGTTCTGACAGCAAAGCCCAACCTCCTCTATGTCCGACACTTCTGAGATGTTGGTGGAGCACGAAAGGGACCTTGCGCTGGGAACCGCCGCCCAGTAATACTAGGGTCAGTGAAGAAGGCAAACGTCGACAGCATAATGGCGACGCGTTCAATCTGAAAGTAAAGCAAGACAAAGTCTGCTTTTTTCTGAGGTCGTTCGACCCCACCTTGCGGAGAATATTCATAAAAAATTGGAGACTCTCAGGCTAGCAGTTCTTCCACTCCTCCGTGTGCCCTATCCTCGTGCCAACAAAGACAACTAGTCTGACTTCTAGCGCTCTTCTTCCAGGAAGAAATTTTACGCTAAGTGACATGACCTCAAACCCGACTTCCGATCTTTCTTCGATCAATAGCTCCTGGAATTCTAGAGAAAAGACAGCGACTAAATTCCCATGTATAGGCAATACATTGTAGATGACAGAGGTGTATGTTTGGATGAGCAAGCACTTCATATGAAAAAGAAAAAAATTAAAATTGAAAAATGCCCAAAGTGATTCACTAATTATGGGACAACCTAATACATACAGCTGATGGAAAATAGAACTCTAAAACCTGCAAGCTTGCCAAAGCATCATTGGTTTCATAATGCAGACGTTTTTCCGCTTCATAACGAGATCTCCAGTCTACAGCCGACTCTTCCGCAATAACAACCCGTTCTTGCAATGAAGATAATTCGTTCTGTAAAATGAGAGATATTAGTCGGAATATTTGAAAGAGAATGGAGCAAAACGCACACAAAAGAGCAGCAGAAATTTAGGTTTCTTCAGATTGTTTCTCGTGCGGAAAAGGCATTTCATTCCTATTCAAGTAATTGATTGAGCAAGCATGAAGAAGTTTCCGTTTAGTAAAGAAAAGGTTCTTGTTCACCTCTCATTGAAGCATACGGATAGAGGATGTGGAATAGTAAACGATATTCCTCAAGCCAATAAGCATATCATATCAGAGCCCTTAGATTTTACCCATCGCAAATACCTTTACTGGAATCCACGTCATTAATGATACCTTGGTGCATGCGCCTCGCTCATCATAACGCTCTCTCTCTCGCTCCACGCCGTTTACACTTCTTCCAAACACCCAGTGTTTCTTCGCCACGCATTTGTACAGTACACAAAATGAGTTCCAAAAAGATACGCCTTGTTTGAACGTTTCGACAGATCCTTTTACTTTTACTCAGCGGTAGGTCACGCTGCGCCTAATTTCATTTTTTGAACCATTACTTAGACTCCGCAGTTGCTACCTCGTATTGTCACCGACATTTCAGGTGAGAAAGCGAAGAATACTATGCATGCAGTTGGTGGGGTAGCGGACGTTCGCTGACGTGATGCCATCACTGAGCAGATCTCAGGTCCCAATTTTCTGCTGAATTAGCTTGATTTACATTATATCAACATTATAACACCGCTCGCACAGCACACCAAAATTTTTATAAAATCTCTGCTTGCTTAAAAGGGAGCTAGGCTCATCACGACTCCATTCACATGGATGACGCTACGAAAAGAGATGCTGGCCACCACGTATAGGGTATAGTCTAAAATATATCCATTTCACCAACACGGCGAGTACAATTTGACATTTCGCTTGCGTATGTATTCGGGTAAATTTCGGGTAAAATATTGTGGAAAAATTAGCTAACTTTTACTACGTGGACGTTAGGAGTTGAACGCCCGAAGGAATTCTCGCCCGCAACCAACGAGCCTCCATCCTATCGGAATCATCGACTGATCCAAGCTTGTCCCGTAGGTTGAATGACCAAGTTCTACATAATGAGCCCGCCGCTCAGCCAGTAATAGGACTCAAGCCTTCCAATTGCTACTACGATTCTGAATGAGGCAGAGTGCATGGCGCAACCTAAAGGGATTGACCAATGTTTATGTGGATTTATCTATTACATTCCTGTATGATTAGCACCTAAATACTGAACAGTAGCAGAGTTAACCTAAAACGACAACCAAATGAGGTCGTGTGGGAAAGCCTACCTGTGGGTGATGGCAGTGCTTCATAATAGTCAAAGAGTCCCTGTCACAGCTCGAAAGCGCGACAAGGCCTAGAGCCTTACGTAGTCCTGTGCACTGAGTGAACTATGGACGAGATACATGCGCAGAGCCATAGCGCCACACTGACAGGTCCCAGCAATGGATTACGACTAGGCAGGGGGGGGGGGGGCTAATTCAAAAACGCGCGAGTGGAGCCTGGGGCAAGCAAGTTTGTGCACCTCGTTCGACCGTGCCCCTTCTTACTTCGAGAAGACAGATAGGGAATACTAGTTGAAGGTGTCGTTGTTGCTATTCCACACAGGCTGCTACGGTGGAACAGATTCATTCGGTCAACGTTTCGACACCCCTTCCGTCGTCTTCAGGACCTCACTTCTATTCACGCAGGACCTTACCTCATTCACTCTACAATATAAAATGCCAGGGTTTCAAGAAACACCGAATTCAGACCTTATCTCTACTTCCTCCACCTTCAATATACAACATGCCAAGGGATTCCAAAGACGAATATGAATCTACTAATCATGGTTCATCAACTGTTTGTTTGTTTAGATTTCAGTCAATTCGGCGGCTACAATTTTATTCATGAAGCTGTCACCATAACAAACTGAAGTTATCAACAAATAAAAAAACTAACTGTGCAATCCTTGGCATCCAAAAAATGAAAAAAGGAGTGAAATCTTTTGAAAAAATTGTAAATTAAAACTGTACAACTAAAACATTAATCAGTCAAATAAATAGCGCTTCACAAACCTTCATAGATTGCGTCGTTTTTGCAGCGTCGGTGTCAGTGGCGGCAACCGTACTCTGCAAACGTCGAATCTGCTCTCTCAGTTCTGTTTCTCGTTTCTCAGCTTCCACCGCTTCTACGGTTGACGTTTCTTCAACAAGTAAAAGGTGTTCCTTGAGCCTTTGCAATTCTCGAGACATCTTCTCGCGTGATTCCCGTTCTCTGAGAAAAATTCTCGAGATTTGGACAACCGAACTGTGTAGCTACCAACGCTATAATATAATTTTAAACAAATTATAAGCGGTTTAATCCATACTCGTTTAATGTCTCGGCAGCACGTCGCTCAGTATCTGCCAATTTCTGTTCCAACGCAGCTATCTGAGCAATCGCAGCCTCTAACCGAGCGAAGTAATCCACACTTTCCGCATGTTTCTGGGTTGCAACCTAAAACGACCTTTAATGCTTCAGAGCAATGGAACTTCGGTGTCCAAAAAAGGTACTACTGACACAGTCAAAGAAATACCTGAAGAGTTTAGGAACAAATCACAAACACTTAGTGACTTGAGAAAACTACCTGTCGAAGTTGCTCATTCTCTGCTGTCACCGTATCCACAAAACTCATCTTTTCACTCAGTTGCTTTCCGGCGTTGGCAAGAGCCTGGAAAGAACGACACTCGAAAAAGGTGTTGTTGCGAATTGGCATCAATGCCGATTCACGGAGAAAGGTCTCAGAGCTTGTGTAAAGAAGATTTACGGACGGGTTCCAACCTCCTTCAGTTGAGTACACTCCTCCTCAAGGCGTTCTATCCGTTCAGAAAGCTCTTCCTTTTCTTGATCAACCTCTTGAGCAGAAAATGATTGCTGAAACATTCTTGAAGAGCTAGTGGGGTAAGCAAAAAAATTTCGTTTGCAAGCTGTCATAGCACTCTGAACAAGCTTGAAACTAGTTTGCGACAGAGATAGCCCGGTACCTGCGCCAAGTCGGAAGTCTCTAACGTGGAAGCAGTGAGAAGCTCATCACTATAAGCCAGCTTGGAGTGATCGGAGGAGCATTCCAGCTGGAACATGATTCAGTCAATGAAAAGACATTCTAGTCAGTACAGCGTTTAGCACACTGAGTGTATAGTAGTGGATGGACAAGTTGGAAAATAGAGCACTTATTGAGAAATATAGAGGAGTAAAGTTATGACGTATTGACCACTGAATGGACAGAGAAGCCAAATAAAGAATTCCGCCTGGGGCACGCCTGAATTTCACACATGCTGTAAATCCTAGTATCGCAAACAAAATTGGGAAACAAAAATCAAATTAAAATGTCATCAAACAACTAAATGCGAGTTAGCTCACTTACAACAGCTCGAATATGATTGCGTGCCGATTAGCTGATCGTAGAGGTGTTCAGAGTAGGTGAATACATGGAAACTAGTCCTTACTCCAAATTATAGAATCCAAAGTTATAGAATACTGTATGTGGCATCCTACTTACTATAAAGCGCTTCGTCTGTCGTCTGTCGTCTGTCGTTCTGTATGTCTGTCACGAAATTCCCTAGCTCCTCGGGATCCGCCTGGAGGGACCGGGTCAAGTGTGGGATGGGTGGGCAAGGTCTCACGAATACAAAACACACATCAGCTAAGCGGAGCCCCGCCCACAGAGGGCGTGGCGTGCGTCGAAATGAATTGTACCGAAGACCAAGATTTCAGTTTCAGTGGGAAAACAGCCTCGAAACTGGGCCAAAAAGTGGGTGAAGGTGTACATTGGTAAGTCACATCAAATGAGGGAGACCCACCCCCAGTGGGCGGAGCGTTCTCCAAAAAAGCGGTGCTTTGTGAAAAATTTCAAAACTCGGTTGGGAGGAAAACTACAGAGCAGAAAACAAAATGATGCAGGAGAGCAATGTCTAAGGTGTGCCCAGCATACACGAAGTTTACGGAGGCCCGCCCACAGTGGGCGGAGCGCGCTCTGAAGTGAACAGCATTTTCTACGAGTCCTCATAATTCGGGCCGGAGAAGTCTTAGTGAGCCGGAAAAAGGTGGATAGAGGTGGGTGGAGGAGTGGAGGCCAACTGTCATTGGTGGGCGGGGCTGACCAAAGTGGGCGGAGTTTGCGACGAAAATTCATAACTCGGTTCCAGAAGGTCCCGGAGAGTGGGGAAAAAAGAAGATATAGTTGGGTGGGAAAGTGGAGGTCAACGGCCAGTGGTAGGCGGGGCTTGGCCAAAGTGGGCGGAGTTTGCGACGAAAATTCATAACTTGGCTCCAAGAAGTCCCGGAGGCCGCGAAAAAGGTGGATAGAGGTGGGTGGAAGGAGTGGAGCCCAACTGCTATTGGTGGGCGGAGCAGGGCCCAAGGTGGACGGAATTCTCCGCATAAATTCATAACTCGGCTCCAAGAAGTCCAGGAGGCTGGGAAAAAGGGAGTAGAGGTCGGCGAAGGAAAGGAGGTCAAATGCTATTAGTGGGTAGAGCACGCACCTAAGTGGGCGGAGTTTGCCAAAAGTGTCGCAATTCGGTTGCAAGAGGTCCTAGAGATAGGGGAAAACGGGGTTAGAGGTTTGGTGAGGGAAAAGAGCTCAACTGCTATTACTGGGTAGAGCACGCACCTAAGTGGGCGGAGTTTGCCAAAAGTGTCGTAATTTGGTTCCAAGAGGTCCCAGAGACCGGTGAAAAAGGGGGTAGAGGTCGGCGAAAAGGAAGGGGCCAAATGCTATTGGTGGGCAGGGCACGCACCGAAGTAGACGGAGTTCGCCACGAGATTTATTGTCCGGGAAGCAGTCCGGAGACCGAGAAAAGAGGATAATGGTTGACGAAGAAAGAGCGGATAGAATTTAGCGGAGAATTCAGATATTCGTATTGTATCAAGCCAAATTTGAAAATTTTTCGTCGCACCATCAAAATTCGCCACAGATCTGTGTTGCGCGCGCAATGCGTGCGGCGCCAACTGGTAATATATACACAAAAATCTGCAAGGCTACATGCAATGCGTCGCCGCAAGACATTTTTTCAAAACTAGTGCTAAAGTTTGGGAATCTGACAATGTAAAGCAGGAGACATTACGTCTTTATAACAAACTACAAACCACTTAGGAGTTAAAATTATCTCGAGCAGAAGCTCGCCACAATCAAAGTCGTAACAGGGAGAATCGCATCAACAGAGAAATTTCCATGCGACAAACTTAAAAGGAGGCTGCGATACTACCAGAGGGGAACAATGTTGCTGCAATACTTGCAACGCATTGCATTGTTTGTCATACTTGATTCCGAGCGAAGTAGACACGTCTAATTTTTTGAAACGCTCGCAAATTCAAGTCAAATCAACTCTAAATTAAAAAAAAAACAAACTTGTTCTAGATGAGAGTCAGGGTGGACATACTCCGGCTGTTTTCGATTCAACTCCTCACTCATCGTATTCAGCGAGCGATCCTTTTCCAAAATCTGATAGTGAAGAAGAAAAATAAATTGATAGTGGTTGGTAATTAATGACAAAATGTTGTACACAATGATCCTAAAATTCCGCAACGTTTTCTCAAGCAATTGACAGATTTCTCGGAAGCAGATGTAACATGGGCTTCTAGCTCGAAAATAGGATAGTGCGCCAAGACTCAAAGGGACCTAGAGATCCAAGAGAAGGAAGAAATATATTCAAACCTGTTGCTTAAGTTGAAGGTTTGCTTCCGCTGCAAGCTGTAATTGCACTTGTAAAACATTTGTTTGAGCTATCATCTCATCCACACAGGACTGTCGCAGCTGTAAGTGCAAAGATTCACGATCCTTAGGCAAAAAATGGTGACAGCTCAAAAGAAAGATGAAGGTAAAGGTAAGGACAACTCAAAAAGTACACGAAATTAAATTTAATAAAAAGGTCAGCTGCAGGATCCATGAATAGAAACAATACCGTGACTTCCTTTTCCAAATCATCTGTCTGCTGTCGGAGCTTTTCACATTCCTCCGTCTTCTCCGCATTTGCTGCCAAGGCTTCACGTAACTGAGCAGTAAGAGCCGAAACCTATAATAGTAGAATTTGACGACTCCCTAATTTATTTTGTATGCGATTTCTCGCAGTGAAGAAAATTCGGAAAAAGCTTTTTGAAAAGGACTATACTGACAATGGGCGCATGTTTGCTCACAGAGCTGTTCCCTTGGAGAGGTAGATACGCAGAGGATCTACAGTGCGGCATCTTAGAGCGAGAGATTACGATAAAGGGAGTGTGCAGCATGCAAGCACATGCACCAGTGGAAGCAGTAACCAGGGGCCGGAGAAGTGGCCGTCGCCTTCTCGCGGCCAAAAGTGCGCTAGTTGCAGCGCCTTAGGGTTGCCAATACTTTCTGAGCTCAGCCTCCGTCTGTGCTCCGCTCACCTCTACACACAAGAGCAGCACAGTTCATTTTTCAATCTGAAAAGGTATCTTTTCACGGCCGCATCCTTTTAGTTTTCTGTGGAGACGTTATCAATCAAATGACGTTGGTTAGCATGGTGGAGGCTATCGGGTTAACATGAGCAAATGACCACCTATGGTTAGTTGATTACTGGTTCGTCCACTATGGGAGATCAACAGGCGAATGAAGATGTGAAATTTTGCGGACTTTTCGCTTTCTTCTCCACTTGCGCATTATTCTGCATCATACATCCACTTTGAATGCAACACAATCTTATCGTGATCCCTCGCTTTGAGAGCCTTTTCTGAGGTAGGATCTACAGTGCTGTTCTTAGCAGCCTTTCTGAGGGAAATTCTTATCGAGGAAACATTCGTTGGAAGGCCTTTGGTCTACTCAATGAAAACCGGGCCGGGATAGCTGGGTAATATCAGTTTTCAATGGATGAGGGAAACAAATACCTCGTCCACATTGTCTTGAGGAGGTGGATTCTGATTTCGCTGATTATCATCGACCTTCTCCTGAAGAGCTTTTAGAGATGTCTGCAGCTCTTCCCTGTGCTCTTCCAAAAGTCTGAAGATGTGCAGTAGTGTGAATAGTGTGAAAAGGAGAAAAATTCAAAATTAAAAACTCACGAAATTTTTTCTTCCAGAAGTTGTGTTTTCTTTTGATCTGTTTCCTCCTGTTTCTTCATTTGAGCATTGACCTCAGCTAATAACTTCGACTCTTCAGAAAGCAACCTGAATCAATATACGAAAAATCAACAAGCAAACACTGGTTGCCTTGCCTTAATATAACCCCCGAACTGCATGTGTTCAGTAAACTAATTCACATCAACACATCCACGCCGATGGCCGCCCATATGGGCTGCCAGCTGATAATCGCTTGCAAGGCGCTAAGAACGTAAAGATAGTGGGTACTTACGGGGAAAGCAAAAATGGTTCTCTTTTCGTTATCCACTATTCGTCGTTTGATCGAAATCCTACTGTTATATGTTTAGATAATCTTTACGCATTGGACATTGCAGAAATTATTTTGTGACATTCATGTTTTGTTCATTTACACCGTCCACGCGACTGGAAAAGGGGCGCCGTCGTGAATGTGTTAACAGCACTAGTTCTAATCAGATATTAACCTGTTTCGCTCTTGTAGCATGGTGACCTCTTCACGCAGCTCACGGTGCAAATTGTCGACGGCAGCTGACTGGACCTCGCTCAAGGACGAGCTGCCCTGCGCATCACTGTCATCAAGAGACATCTCACTTCTTTGAATTGCATCATTTAGCGATTTGGTGTAGCTTAAATGATTTCTCTTCAAAATGAACAGTGAAAAAACAAGACGGTGAGAACTATTGGCGAGCTGAGCAACAAAATACACTAATTGTCAATAATATAAGCCAAAAGGATATATTCAATCATGAATAATGAATTCTAACCGATCAATGACGGCAGCCATTTTTTCGTTCTCCTGACAAAGATTTCGGTTGGATGACCTAAGCATGTCCAGTTCTGTGTCAATGCCTTCTACAGTGGAGCGGAAGCGATCGACGTCAGCACGAAGGCGATCACGATCTGTTTTTGCCTGTTCTAGAGCAGTACGGAGACGGTCTACTTCGCCCTAGAATGGAGTAACTGGTGTAACTTCAGAAACTTCTCAAAAGCACATGTATAAAAAACTCACGGACACATCAGCTTCCTTATTTTGTTCACGAACGTCAGCAAAACCAGATTTCAACCTTTCAAACTCCCCAGAAAGTCGCTCAAGTTGGGCCACGGTCTCCTGGTTCTCACGCTTGCACATCTCGTATCGCTCTTCGTATTCGATGAGGCTCGCTTTCAAAAGATCTAAAACAAATTTTAGCGTGTCGAAGTTATTTAACGTGTTCCATCAAAAATCATTGCTTGGGAAATGGGCTAGTAAAACCTGCGCGCAGCGAAAAAGGTCTTGAAAGAGATTAGACTGATCCTAAAAGAACCTTAACTGTTAGGTTGATTAAGCAAGCAACCAAGGTGTACAAGATAAAGTCGCCGAAGACCTTTGCAATGGAACATGTTTCATGCGAGCCATCTGAGAAAGCTCATAGAACCCTTGGAGTTCTCCACCCCTCAATCTTACATACAGTGGC